AACTAGAGCATGAAGGAATGAGGTGCGAGAGAGGAGGAAGTTTGCACTGGGCATGAATTTAGAGAGGACATGGACGTCCTTGTTTATGGTGGCTGTGTCTCAATTCTTTGGCCCTTATAGCTGTTGATGATTAATGGCCCACAAAGCTTAGGCAGAATCTTACTTATGTAGTGCTACAAATTTTATACTCTCAAGCTCCCAGAATATCCATGACCTGTAAATAATGCCCCCCCACACACAAAAGAAGGCCTCCTCTAAATGCAGAGAGTGATCAAAATAGCTAAAAGGAGTTAAGGACATGGAAGTTATAGAAGATACTATGTGACTGACCTGTTTTCTATCTAGAAGGGAAGTCTGTAAGGGCAAGAGAATTATCAGCAAAGAGGAAAGAGTTGGTTGAGAGGCCACGGACGTTATTCACTTCAGGAAGAAAGATGGTTAAGATAAAACCCAATGGTAGAATTGATAGAGTGCAGGGGAAAAGCCAAGCTCCACAGCCCCAGAAAATAGAGGCAGGAGGAGGCAGGAAGCTGACAGGAGTCTGAAATTAGAGGCAGCTCTAGTCGTGCTTATTTCAGTGGTTCACAAAGGTACAGGTATCCTTCAGGTAGGATTAAGCGGTACAGGGGCTGTTCTGTGGGCTATACTGGCAAACCAACCCCTAACATAGACATGTACTTCACACAATACACTTATATCTACAGTAGAAGCAAGAGAGATGCTGGATCTGAAAATGAAATTAAGAGAATAATTCCATTTACTATAGCATCAAACAAAATAAATACTTAGAAATAAATTTAACCAAAAAAGTATGTAACTTACACTCTTAACACTACAAAGCATAAGTGAAAGAAATTAGACATCCCATGTTCATGGATCAGAAGCTTAATTTTATTAAGATGACAACAGTCCCCAAATTAATCTACAGATTCAAAGCAATCTCTGTCAAAATCCTAGATTGATATACTGATCCTAAAATGTATAGGAAAATGAAGGGGCCCAGAATAGCCAAAATAATATTTAAAAAGAACAAAGTTGTAAGACTCACACTTACTGATTTCAGAAGTTAACTATAATGCTAAAGTAATCATGACAGGGTGATATTAGTGTAAGGATAGACATATAGACCAATGGAATTGAGAGTCTAGTAAATAAAACCTTACATTTACAGTCAACTGATTTTCAGTAGCGGTGCCAAGATCATTCTAGGGGAAAGAGTAGTCTGTTCAACAAATGGGGCTGGAACTACTAAGTAACCATGTGCAAAAGAAAAAAGTTAGACCCCTGTATCTCCCAGTTCCTTCTTCCTCCCACCCGCGATACCTAATTTACTTTCTGTCTCCATGGATTTGCCTATTCTGAACATTTATATAAATGGAATCATACAATATATGGCCTTCTGTGACTAGCTTCTTTCACTTTAGCATAATGTTTTCAAGGTTCATCTATGTTGTAGTTTTTTATCAGTACTTCATTACTTTTTGTGGCCGAATAATACTACTTTGTATGGATATACCACATTTTGTTTACCATTCAGCAGTTGATGGACATTTGGGTTGTCTCTTTTTTGGCTATTATGAATAATTCTCCTGTGACCATTCATGCACAAATGTATCATGTTAATATGATCAGAAAGGAGCTCAATAAACAACTGTTCCCCACCATTTAATTCTCCCAGAAAGAAAAAATAAATTCATCATCTGTTACTCTGAACCCATTGTTTTCATTTTGAGTAATTATCCTCTCAACCTTTAACTGGTTTATAGCTAGTAATTTCAGAATGTTATCACTAGGTTATCTGGTGTTTTGAAACTCATCTCTTTTGGAGATAACCCTTGAAAGTGATCCTTCACAAAGCTAGACCTGTCTTGAGATTTCTGGATTATGCAGGGCCTTGTAAGTCATACCAAAGAATCTGGACTTCATACTGTATCCAATGGGAAATCACTGAAGTGTTTAAAAAGGGAGGAAATGACATGATCCCATTTGCATTTTAGAAAGATCTCTTTGCAGTATGAGGGATGGATGAAGGAAGGAAAGGATGGAAACCAGACAGATCAAGTAGAAGGTTGTTGCAGTCATCCAAATGGGTGGTGCTGGGGGCTGAACTAGGGCAATGGTAGAGGGATATCAGAGGAGTGGATTTAAGGAATAATGAAGAGGTAGGGTCAACAAGACTTGATGAGCTACCTGTACAGGTAAGGAAATAAAGAAGTTGTGGATGCTGGCCAGCTTTCTGGGTTGAGGAACTGAGTTGATGATGGTGACATACCATGAGACAGAGAATATAGGAAGAAAATGTTTGAGGGAAGGTTTATGATAATTATTAAATGCTAACTATATACCAGACACTTTGTTACTGGATCTCATTTAATCTTCAAAAGACCCTGGGAGCTAAACAGCATTAGACTTGCTTTTTCCATGAAAAAGATTTCATTCAGCTAAAAAGTGATAGAGCTAGGATTTGAACCCAAATATCACTGATGCCTTCATTTCATGTGTTCTTACCATCTCACTTTACTGTTTCTGTTCAAGTTGGGTCATGGGGGTTTGGGGGGCTTGTAGAATATCAGTGTATACTCAGAAGTAGAATATATGGGTGTGAAGCTCTGGAGGAAAAGCTGGGCTTGTGCTGCAGATTTAGACGTCACTAGTATACTGATTAAAGCCTGGGACATAGGTAGTAAAAAGGACGTGTGGAGCAAGAAGAAAAGAGAATACCTCTGACAGAATCTCAAGATCCTCAGCATTGAAGGAACTGGGGGCCAGAGCAGGGGAGCCTGAAAGTGGCACCCAGAAATGACCAGGAAGGTGGGAGGATGTCATGGATCGGGTAGGAAGAGTTGTATATATATCACTAGTGTTCACAGTTGAGGAATGAAGTCATTAATTATGATGCAATTACAAAAGGTATGTCATGTCTCCATTAAAATGACAAATAGGTTGAATCTAATCTGTGAGGAGATGCAAATAAAGCAATGTTATATGGATAAAAGTAGAACAGCAAAACCATACATTTGGTTAAAACTTTTTTAAAAATTGTGATTTGCAGTGTCAACAGTCAGAAAGTAGTCAGATTTTTAAAAGATAATTGGTAGACTAAGGGACTATTAAGGTGTTTATAAAATTATTTAAAATGGTACAGGACCTGTGGAAAGTGGTGTGGTGGTTCCTCAAAAAATTAAAAATGGATGTACCATATGATCCAGCAGTTCCACCTCTGGAATTGAAAGCAGGGTCTTGAAGAGGTATTTGTACACCCATATTCATAGTAGCATGATTCACAGTAGCTAAAATGTGGAAGCTACCCAGGTATCCATGGGCAGATGAATGGATACCCAAAATGTGGTATATACACACAATGGAATAGTATTCAACCTTAAAAAGAGAGGAAATTCTGACATAAGCTCTACTCTGGATGAACGTGGATGAGCCTTGTGGACATGCTGAGTGAAATAAGCCAGTCACAAAAGGACAAATACTGTATGATTCCACTTATATGAGATACCTACAGTAGTCAGATTCATAGAGACATGGTGGTTGCCAGGGGCTGAGGGGAGGGGTTAAAATGAGGAGTTATTGTTTAATAGGGACAGAATTGCAGTTTTGCAAGGTGAAAAAAAGAGTTTTGGGAGTGGATAATGGTGATGGTAACACAACAATATGAATGTATTTAATACCACTGAAAAATGATTAAGGTAGTAAATTTTATGTATATTTTACCACAGGAACATAAGAACCAAAAAAGAAAAAAAGAAGGTGATAGTGTCATAGCCTCCTCCCCACAGACTGGTTCAGTGGGTCTAGGGTCACCAGTGACCCTATATACAGCCAGAGTGGGGACACTGGTTTAGCTGAGGGAGTGGCATGTGGGGAAATCTAACACCATGCACACACCTAAATCTCATTGTGGTTTCCAAGCAGACTTTTGTTTGGTTTCATCCTTTATTTTATTTTATAACCTTTGTGATCAGGAGGAAAAAACTCCACAATAAGTAAGACACATTCACTGTAAAAAAGTTGGCAAAGTTCAAAAAAACGAGAGTCATCCACAATCCCCTCAACCGGAGTAATCATTATTAAATTCAGGTATATTCTGGTCCTTCTATTATAGATAGACTACGTTTATAGATATAGATATCCTTGTATATTCTCATACGTATTTATTTCTTCTGTGCTTTTTGTTTGTTTTAAACAAAATTGCTGTCATACTTCACATACTGTTTTTCCCCTTTTCAGTGAATACATGGTGATGTCTTTCAGGTCACTGAGGATCTTCTACCTCATGGTTTTCAGTGGCTTCATAGTGTTAATTGTTTAAGCCATTACTGTTACTGAACATCTAGATCATTTCCCAATTTTTCGCTATCATAGTCAATGTTGACATGTATATTTTTATATAAAAATATCATTCTAAATTGTTGCTGCTATCAGTTTGGTAGTTGAAAAAAATGGTATATTTTTTGTTTCTGGTGAACATTTTCCTATGCTTACTGCCATATGCTTTAAAATTATAATCTGTGTATTTTCTGTTTTAATGTTATGTAATGTGTTTAAACCCTTATTTAAATAAAACTTGTTTTCAGGAAAAAAATAAATAAATTATAACCTGTGTGGCACCTAGGTGGTTCTCTTTCATCTTTTACTGGTTTTTGTTTCTCACTCTTCTTTTTCTTTCTGTAATATAATGTCATAGAATTATGAGCCTTTACAGTTAAGGCCCTGAAGGGTAAGTGGTTTGACTAGAGCCACACAAAAAATTAAGTAACAGAATAGGGGTTTGAACCTAGCTTTACTCATTTTTCATCCTTCCTCCTAATAGATAGATATTGCTGATGTCCTTAAGTCTCCATGGGAGAAGCTTCTGCAGCTTTTCATTCTGGAGCAGTATTTAATTTGTCTTTTGTGGCAAAGAACTTGTTGATTCTGAGTAAGCTTAGGAAGTAGCCTCAGCTAAGCTTGCCCTCCACTAACAGCCAGTGTACTGCTTGCTGTTCCAGGAGCCATGTTTGACCAGGACTGTGGGAAGGTCAGGCTCATGCTGGAGACTCTTGTGAGGAGATGAGTTGGTGAGCGGAGAAGCCGGCATGAAGATGCTTCCAGGAGTGGGCGTGTTTGGGACCGGCAGCTCTGCCCGGGTTCTGGTCCCACTGCTGAGGGCAGAAGGGTTCACAGTGGAGGCCCTGTGGGGGAAGACTGAGGAGGAGGCGAAGCAGCTTGCCGAGGAGATGAACATCACCTTCTACACCAGCCGGACGGATGACGTCTTGCTGCATCAAGACGTGGATCTGGTGTGCATCAACATCCCCCCTCCACTCACTCGGCAGATATCTGTGAAGGCTCTAGGTATGGATAGTCAGGCCATAGGAAGGGCAGATTGTGTCTCCCTCTGGGTCATCCTTGAATGTCACTGCTCTCCTGGGCCTTGGTAGTTCTTCATGGGCTTAGGTCTGCAGGTGGTGGTACCCTGGGACCTTACTCACCCTGGAGCAGTGCTGGGGGAGGGCACTTGGCGGGGGGTCTTAATGACTGTAGGAGGAAATATTCCAGTGGCTGGGAAAGATGCAGCCTTCTCCAACTCCCATAAGTAAACCCCTGAGCAAAAACTGGGCAAATGCCTTAAGAGGTGGCCTATCTCAGTAACTAGATTATTATATTTGAGGCATTGTGAAGTTTGCTTTGTGAAGTCTGTTCAGAGACCTGAGCACTGGGAAATGCATTTGTTCTTCCATTTCTGCAGCATGCAGTACCACAGAAAGGAGAGCAGGGTGTATAGCACAGCTGCCATTTCCCATGTTTTGTCAGTCTTTGGCTAGACTGAGCACACATCCTGCCGAACTTTGCAATTTTGTATGCTAGAGGGCAGGAAGGCTCTGACAGAGCTAGGTTTCCCTGGCAGGATTCACATGTCCGCCTGCTCACATCTCTGTTCCCTCGGGAAACAGTTGGCTTAGCCACCCGCTGCCTCTGGCTGGGTGTGGCTTGGTGAGCTGTTCTCTTGCAGTTCCTGTTGGGCATCTCTTTCCTGTCAATTGTAGAAAAATTATTCTCTTTCTCTTAATATAAATCAGAATCTAATTTAATAGGAAAACAAACCAGTAAACATTCATCCAGCAGTTAAAAAAAAAGCCTCCTATGTGCCAGACATTGTCCTGATATTATTCTGGACATGTGTCTTTCTGATTCAATCAGAGATTGCTGGGTCCAGGAACTGGTATGCCATGAGGCTAACACCATTTCTCCTTGGCCACTACCTTGGTGGGGGGTCCAAGGCTCTGCTACTTGACTTTCCCTTTTTCTGAGAATAAGAGGTTGTCTGTCACCTCTAGCCCAATGGGTTGGAGAGGATAAATGCTCATTGAAGTGAGCAGGAACATAAGTCTGTCTGTTGTTGATTTGGGGCATGTAAGTTTTGGCCAAAAATTGTAGATTAGAAGTAGACATAGGCCAACACTTTAACAGAGGGCTGGTTCAAGGGAATCAAGCTACCATGGTCACTTGACTTTTTGTCATTCCTTGTGGCTTGAATGAAGGTTGGTGAGGCTGAGTGGGTGCAGAGGCAGAGTTCTAGAGGCTTTTATTTGTCTTCTTGAACTTTAGGGTCCCCACAGAGACCATTTCCAGGCTATGTAAGAAGAAAGAGGAAACCCTAAAGTTCTTTGGGCACAAACCTGCTGTTTTCAGGGTCCTGGTACAGGAAAATACTGGACTTTGTGCCATTTAATATAAACAGGAAGGGCGGGGATGAACAAAAGCTTCTGGGATCTTGTGTCCCAGCCCACAGTGATGCAAGGCAGTCAGCCTCCTCTCTGCATCTCTCTTGTCAGGAGGGTAGAGGGTGTGAATGAGAGTCCTTTGTCTGTTCGTGCAGATACAAGATCCCAGGGCCAAGTTGGTTGGGCTAGGAGGACCCATGTCGGCTAGACCTGCCCTCAGGCACTGCCCACTCAGGCCACAAAGGAGTCACTAAGCCTGTTGTGATCATGAAGTTTACTGTGTGTGTGTGTGTGTGAGAGAGAGAGAGAGAGAGAGAGAGTGTGTGTGTGTGTGTGTGTGAGTGTTAGTTCTGACTTGACTTTAGCTTCTGGAAGAGGCCAGTTTTCCCAGATGACTGGGTGTGAGTACGTGACTTCTGTAGATAGAGCACCAAACTGACCTTGACATCATACTCCACTTCTGACCCTATTTTTGTCCCTCTCAACCTCTTTAGGCCCCTGTGAAATGGGGGTATGATTCAGCCTTTCCAGCACAATATATGACTGCCTCTGAGTCTGACCAAGACAGACACTGGTATCACATTACGGGGGGGAAAGCCAGGCTTTCCTGTTGTCCTAAGTAGAAGAGCAGATTTACTTAAGTTAAATTGACTTCAAAAATAAATAGTAGGAGTCTCCTCTGGCTATTTATTAGATAAATGTTCACTGAGTTGAATGCAGCCTAGAAATGAAACTAAGCATACTAAGTCATCTCAAATGTGAAAAGAAAATTTTGTAGGTTGGTGGACTTTGTTTAAATGCCTTGAAAACAGGACCCATTCTTTCCTCCTGTAATGTTAAGCTCTGGAAGTGTCTGGTTCTTGTACACTGTTTAGATGGAGAACAGAGCAGGCACATGCATTGATACTTGCAAAAATAGTAATATTTAGAAGTCCTCAGAGTCGACATCCCAAAAGACCCTCACTGCCATTCCACCTGTGTATTCCCATGTATGAGTCTCTTTATATATGCATGGGAGTGTATTTTTCTGTTTTTCCCACTTAAGTCTCTCTTTCTCTCTCTCTCTTTTTTTTCCCTTTCTGTTATTGGGACCATGTTTTTTGTGTTTCATTAAGGACATAAACTTTAGATCCTCAAGGTTTTTAGAGCTGAAAAAAGGACATAATTACTTAGCAGTGTAGCTGTTGAAGTACTCTAATTTTAGATCTTGAACCTCTTCCAGATCTTGAACTTACAGATGTTTATCACAATCCTCTAAAGCCTCTATTGAGTTAAGGGTCCTTCTTGTGTTGTTAAGTATTATAAAAGGTAAGTCGTAGAGACCAAGAAGCAATAAAGCAAGGTAGGTATACAGCACCTCTACCGATTTGCAGCTGTAGGGACTGTTCTTCTGCTAAAACTTTTGATGCCAGTCAGTAGTACTGGATTTTCTTCTTCTGGAATTCACAGGCATAAAATCACAGAATTGTCAGACCTGCAGGAGCCATAGAGAGAGTGTCTAGTCCAGCCATTCTCAGAGATGCTGGACCAGCAGCATCAGCATCACCTGGGAAGTTGCCCTCATTCTTACTAGTTTTTCTAAAACTAACCCTTGGACTTACCCTCCAGAGGTATACTTTTCATATCACAGCTCTTTCTGAGGCATCTTATTTTCTGTTTTTGTTTGACTTTTCATTTTCTTCCACTTCAAATTTCATCCTTTCCTGTGAATTCCTTAAAGAAGAGTGAGGGACTGTAATATGTTTTATTTTTCAATTCAGAAGTGGGTCAGAAAAATATATTTTAATGTACAAAGTGCCCCAACATTCTTGCCACAGTTGAATCTTTTTAGGTGTACACTATTTTTATTTTATTCACATTTAAATTTCACCAAACACTGAGCTCAAGTATAGGCTGGACCTATATTCAGATTTTTGAAATCAAGATAAATAGACAGCTTTAAGTTTAATGTATTAAATACTGCACAATAAGTTGAAAAATTAGAAAAAATCTAGGAGGTGGTGTATCTCTATGTACCTTTATACATGTAGTGACACAAGTATAGGGAGAAGTCCTGCAATTTGAGGAAAAACCCATTCAGGACTGAACACAGGTCCTTGATTGCTGAAAGGATCTACCCCTGACTTCAGACATGAGACAAACCAAGGAGTCTGTCAGTATACAAAAATGACTGAATTCAGGACAAACATTAGCAGGATAGATATTAAGGAATTGGTTCTTGCCAATTTGGATTGTGGGGGCCAATCTGAAGTGAGCTGGGTTGGCTGGAGGCTGGAAATGCTGCAGCTGAAGTCCGCAATCTGTAGATTAGAGCAGTAGTCTAGAGACAGAATAGTTAGTGCATTCTTCAGAAATCCCTGGTTTTCCAAACAAGTTCCTAAAATGCTTTCCCCAGACAGGGGAATGTTCTCTTAAATCCATCACTAAAAGGTAAGTTTCTGTGCCCAGTTCTTGGCACTTGTGTGCTTCGTTAGGAAAACACTGGGTTTGCCAACCCTTTCCTTATGGGCCCTTGAGGTAACAAGAGGTCATTTTTTGGAGCAGCCTTACCCAGATAATTTAATTCCAAGAATACCAGTCCCTTGAGATGCCTTCCCTGACCCCCGGTCCAAGTCAGGTCCCTGCTGTATGCTCTCATATTAACATTTATATCATCTTCATTGCATTTATCATAAGTACAGTTCTACATGTACTCATATGATAATTTGATTAATGGCACTCTTTCTCTCTCTCACTAAACTAAGTTTTCTGAAGGTAGAGACCATGCCTGATGTATCTCCAGTGCTTGGCAAAGGGCCTGGTACACTGGTTCAATGAAGGCATTCACATTAATTCTACCTGAGCAACCCAGTCTGCTGGTGTGACACAGGGAGCTAACAGGGGCCTGCAACTCAGGAAAGAGCGGAGAGTGGGCTGTGAGAAACAGTGATTCAGTCTGGTGGCTTTCAAATATATTTTTCTAAGTAGCAGAACCTTTTTGGTTAAAAAAAAAAAAGGAAGGGGAGCACAAAATCCCTGGATTTTGTAAAATATCAAAGTAGTGCTTTTCCTGGGGCTACTTCTCTACCCTGCTGTTGGATATCATTTATCTAGTCTCACACCTCTAGGCAGGGAAACAGATGTGTTGTTCCAGAGCTATGAACCTGTGGTATGTTACTAGGGAACAGAGAGGTGGTCTGGGGCAGCTTCTCAGGGGCACTTCACTTCTCTGGGGCATATAAGCTGGAGAGAGGCTTGCAGCTTAAAACTGGTTCACCGTCTAGAAGATCTGAGCTAACAGCACTCAGCAGCCATGTTTTCCTCACTCCCTGGAGAACGAAAGCAGTTTTCAGCTTTTCTAATCTCTCTTGACTTCCTAACAGGAAAGCTAGATAAACTTAAATAAACATGTCTTTCAAGGCAGCTCCAGTCTTCCCAAAGGTACAGGCACTGTGCAGCTGGCCTGCAGGAGCCTGTTTGACTCAAGATGGCCTTTAGCTTCCACACTGATAGTACTACTTGGCCCCAAGTTCAAAAACTCTCCTGTTGTTCATGCTCAAGAAAGAAAGTCTCTCCGCCTTTCCTGACCTTTCATGGTGTGAAACAGAGAATATTTATTCTAGTTTTATCACTACCAAACTCCCAGCAGCCACAGAAGTCCTTTTCCTCCCAGCCCACCTTCTCTCCTCATGTTGCAGCGCCCACCCCAACCCCTTCCATGAATAGCTACAGCAGGAAACCCCTGGGTTGCCCGGAGCCATAACTCTCAGATGGAGTATCTGAGAACCTCATTTTCTCATAACTTCCCTGGTCAGCCATGTGTTCCCCAGCCAAGTGGCCATGTTCTCACCCAGTATTGTGATTCTCCTGTCCCTAATCCTAAAATCCTACAAGTATGTTGGGGAAGCATTGGAGACCCTCCAGGAGCAGATAGTGAAAGCAGTCAGGGGCTACTCTCCCTGCAAGGCCCCCTCCTGCTCTGGACCCCAGTAAAAGGCTCATCCCCTTGCCTTGACCCCTGCCCTATCCACACTGCTCCCTACCCTGGGTATGTGACACTTGGCTAGCCATTCTCCTGTTGTCTGCCAATACCTGTTATAAAGCTTTTATTATTATTTAGAGAAGAGCAGGAGATTTCAAGAGTTTTGTAAGGTGAAGAGATTGAATTATGTTATAGGCTGATTTGATGTATGTTGCTTCTTGCAACACTGGGAGTTCATGCCTGAAACTCTCATGTGTACAAATGGCAAATGCTCTGTGGGGTTCTTGAGCGTCAGAGTGGTAGGGAAGATGGTAGGAAGTGAGGGGAGCTTGGAAGGATTGGCCAAAGGCACCAAATTATCTCCTGTGATCTTTCTCAGGATGTGAGCTTCCAACGGGCTGAGCTGTGTCTAACTCTATGAAGGCCTAATAAACAGAAAACTCATCTATGTTCATGTTGATCTTTAAACTTCTTTTTAAAAATCAAATTTTCAAAATACTGAACATCAAAATTATTGGCCTGGAAAATGTAGCTTCTATGTGAGTTTTAAAATCTAAGTCACAGTGGGCCCTTTTTTCCCTGTATGTATGACATCTGCTAGGTCTCTCCCATGATGATGGTTATAAAATGGACCATTGCTAGGTCAGGCACTTTACATATATGCCTCATTTGACTTAGTCTTCTCTTCTACCCTGCAAGGTGGATATGACTGTCTTTTTACAGTGCAGTAAACCAAAGCCCAGAGAGGATTTGAAATTTCCCAGGTCATTCAGCAACAAAGTGAGATAACCAGGATTTGAACATGGAAGTGTCTGGCTCCAAAGCTCAAGTTCAGCACCAACAAGTGGCCCTTTTTGGGTGGTCAGCTGTCCTGGAGCCCCATTGTTTCTTTTGCAAGGTGGCCAGATGAATTCCCCTCCTGAGCCTGTGTGAACAGAATCCAAGTCCATCAGATGAAGCTATACCCTTCAGTGGGTTGCCAGAAATTTTCTGTATCCCAACCATTGCCCCATCTGAAAACGCTTCTAAAACTTTCAGGGGACCCAGGGAATGACACCAGGATTATTGGAGATGCACATACCTAGAGAAGGTGCAATCTTGACCTGGTTGCCCCAAGGTACAGGCATTCAGGTTTGAAGGCTGCTCCTCTAACCAGGAAGTGCCTGTGGAGTGTGAGAGTGGAGCCTGGATGGCCTTGGAGGAGAAACCTAAATGCACACATTGTTCAAGATGATCTTCAGTGAGAAGGGTAAACACAAGATAGTCCAGCCAAGACCCCATGTCTTGACCACAACATGAGGCCTTGCCCTGTCTGTCAGTCCTGTCTGTTTTTGCAATTGACTCCTCTCCCCAACCACCAGGCCTTTGTGCATAGCAGCCCGTTTCTCACTTTCAGTGCCTCGAACAGAATGAGCAGGAGAAGGGACCACAGTAGGCAAAGAGACCAAAAAGAAAACTTCGAAGGGGCACACACACCGTGTATGGCCTTGTGGGTGGGCCACTGTAAGGTCTTTGGTTCATTCTGAATGAGATGAGATGCCATCAGAGGGTTTGATGCAGAGCAGAGATATGATCTGATCGATTTTAAGTTTCAACAGAATTACCCTGGCTGCTGTGTTGAGAAAAGAGTGAGTGAGACCAGTTAAATTACCATCGCAGTAATACAGGCTTAAAAGAGTGGTGACTTGGATGAGGAAGGTGGCAGTGGTGGTAGTGAATACTAATTAGATCCTGGATATAGTTTGAAGGCTAAGCCAACAGGATTTACTGATGATTAAAAGTGGGATGTGAGAGTGATTTCAGTGATTTTGGCTTGACAAACTGGGAGAATGGAGTTGCCATTGACTGAGATGCGGAAAACTTGGGGAAGGGAGTATAAAGAGCTCAGTTTGGGATTCCAACCCCAAACTTACCCCTCTGTCTTGAGTGTCTTTATGAGGGATGCTACCAACTATCTATCCAATTTCCTACATTGCTTATAGGCCCTATGTAACCCCTCCAGCCTGTTTACTGGTGTGCACCCAAGACTTTAGGAGTCCCAGCTCTCAGTCCTTTCCTCAGTGCCTTTGCACATGCAGTTTCCTGCCTGGGTGTCCTTTCCCCATTATGCCCCCTAGAATATCTGCTTCCTGTAAGATAACCCAGGTGTCACTCCCCTGTGAAGCCTTCCCTTATCCTGCCATCTGCACCAGGCCTTGAGGCTTATTCCCTCAAGAAGCCCATGACTTCTTCAGAGAATTAGGATAGTGGGATCTGAGTCACACCCATGGGCAGTGTCTGTAGAATGAGTAATGGAATAACTGGATGCTTCACCCTTCTGCAGCTTGCTGTACCCCAAAACCTGTGTGTGTGTCTAGTCCATACCACTTCTTGGGCTTTATAAGCTTTCTATTGAAGATATTAGCATAAGACTTTCTTCTATTTGAACCACCCCAAGCTCACAGGAATACTCCTGGTATTGATGATTTGTGGCTGTTCATACCCTCATGAGCTTTCACTTTCAACCATGGGAAAGTGTTGATCCTTTCTATTTCCTCACATGGGAGCTGCTCAGTCCTCTCGCTCTCTCTCTTCAGGGCTTTTGTCTAGCTTTGTTTTGCTCTCTGGCTGTACTCTAGCTGTGGTGTATCAGGACAGCGTGGGAGCAGAAAGTATGTTTTCCCTCCTTTTCACCTTCTACTGGAGCCATGCATTTCCTGGCCTTTTGACTACACTAACTTGTTGGACCAGTGTTTTCAGAGGGCAGTCTGCGGGGAATCTTAGAGCCCTTTCTGCAGTTACAGCTGACAGTGCAAAGCCCATCCCCTTGAATATAGTTTAGATTATCTTGCCCCAAGCCAGTGATCTAATATATACATAAAGGTACATAGGCATGTCCAAGAAACATGTTCACCTCTCCAGCCCATTTGTATTAGACAGTGTTCTCCAGAGAAACAGAACCAGTAGGATGAATATAGAGAGAGGAAGGTAGAGATTTATTTTGAGGAATTGGCCATGCCGTTGTAGGAGCTGACAAATATGAAATCTGCAGGGCAGGACAACAAGATAGAAATTCCAGCAAGAAATTGATATAGCAGACTTGAGTCTGAGGCAGTCTGGAGGCAGAATTCCTTCCTCTTCTAGGAACCTCAGTCTTTTTTCTTAAGGCCTTCAACTGATTGGTTGAGGCCCACCCATCTTATGGAAGGTAGTCTGCTCTTCTCAGAGTCTACTGGTTTAAATGTTAACCAGATCTAAAAAATATCTTCCCAGCAACATCTGGTATTTGATAGGTACCATAGGCTAACCAAATTGACATGTAAAATTAACCATCGTACCACCTGTTTTTACTTCCCACTCCTGATATGTGCCTTCTGCCTCTGCTCCTGTCATTCTCCCTTTTATGAAGCTACTCCTCTTTCTCTAGCCTATAAGTCTTCTCCAGTCCCAGTCGTTGGATAGGTACCATTTTCATCCAGGCTGAGTCATCTTTCTTCTTGTCCCAGGCCACTGTCTGGTTTCATAGTCGCTTTCCTGAGTCATTCACATTCCAGAAATGGATTTTCTTTTCCTAGTCTAAACCCTGTGGAACTTTGAGATTTCCTGTTGTGTTTTGTTCTCAGGTATTGGGAAGAATGTGGTTTGTGAGAAGGCAGCAACCTCAGTGGATGCCTTCCGGATGGTGACAGCCTCGCGCTACTACCCACAGCTGATGAGCCTGGTGGGGAACGTGCTGCGCTTCCTGCCTGCTTTCGTGCGTATGAAGCAGCTGATTGCCGAGCACTACGTGGGTGCAGTGATGATCTGCGATGCCCGCGTCTACTCAGGCAGCCTGCTCAGCCCCAGTTACGGCTGGATCTGTGACGAGCTCATGGGTGGCGGGGGCCTGCACACCATGGGCACCTACATTGTGGACCTACTGACCCACCTGACTGGCCAGAGAGCTGAGAAGGTACATGGGCTGCTCAAGACCTTTGTAAGGCAGAATGCAGCCATCCGTGGCATCCGGCACGTCACCAGCGATGACTTCTGTTTCTTCCAGATGCTCATGGGTGGGGGTGTGTGCAGCACAGTAACACTTAACTTCAACATGCCAGGCGCCTTTGTGCACGAGGTAATGGTGGTGGGCTCTGCGGGACGCCTTGTTGCCCGGGGAGCTGACCTCTATGGGCAGAAGAACTCTGCCTCACAAGAGGAGCTGCTGCTCAGGGACTCACTGGCTGTGGGCTCAGGGCTGCCCGAGCAGGGCCCCCAGGATGTCCCACTGCTCTACCTGAAGGGCATGGTCTACATGGTTCAGGCCCTGCGCCAGTCCTTCCAGGGGCAGGGGGACCGCCGCACCTGGGACCACACACCCGTGTCCATGGCTGCCTCGTTCGAGGATGGGCTCTACATGCAGAGCGTGGTGGACGCCATCAAAAGATCGAGCCGATCTGGGGAGTGGGAAGCTGTGGAGGTACTGACAGAGGAGCCTGACGCCAACCAGAACCTGTGCGAGGCGCTCCAGCGGAATAACCTGTGAGCCTGCACGTGGGCTCCCTGCCATGGGGCAAAGGGTCAAGGGAGGGACCAGTAGCTGTGATGGGAGGGCTTGGCTATAGCACAGTGTCTTTCATTGGACAGGTCAATTTGAGCAGAGTGGAATTCAGATGAATCTTAAGGTAGCCCTGGGAGAATGCCCCCTCCAGTGCTCATTTACTCCTCAGAGGCAGGGCAGCGACCTTCCTCCTGCCACAGCTGAGGGGGCAGGCACACTGCGCAGGGCAGAGCTGTCCAGGGTCTCTGTGTAGTTATGCTGGTGAGCAGGGCCAGCAAATGCTTGATTTCTGGGCTTCGTCAGCTTATCTGTGGTCCTAACTGGATGGGAAAGCACAGTGAGAAAGCCAGTGTGGCTGATTCCTCAGGTCTGAGGAGAAAGGACAAGCGGTCTTGTTTCCATGCCCTTCCTGGGCTCTAGGGCATCTCAGGAATGGTGAGGGCAGCAGGTCATCCCTCAGGGATCCACACCTGCCCTCCCTCCCATGCGATCGGGCCCTTCCGGCCTCCACGCTCCCCCTTCCCTGGCAAGGAGAAGGAGTTCTTCGTTAGGTGAGCTCTCAGGGGCTGTTTACCTAGGGCAGAGGGCTCCTGATTTGGCAGAGAAGAGACAAGGGACAGCTCTGGAATATCTGATAAATATTAATAAATAAATCAGAAAGTCTGACACTATGACATGTGGTTGTTGGTTGTGGGGTAGACTGGGTTTCTTTAATAATGAAAGGCTTGTTGATTGCTGCAGATTGTTTCTGTTTTCCTCCTTCCTCATGGCTCCATAGCAGTTCTGACCTGGTAGACATCACTATCTAGTGAGCCACGCAGGCTCCTACCGCTGCCCACCCTCACCTCCTGGCATACTCCCTCATAGCTGAGTCCCAAGAGCCCTCCAAGAAGTCTTTCCTCAGTGAACAGGACTCAAGACTTTCAGAAGGGGGCTTATCACGCCTGCTGGTTTCAGGGAGACAGTGGGAGAATTTAGGGTCTCCCTGGTCTGGAGGTCAGGAGGAGTTCTGTCCTTGAAACCAAGGAGTTGGCTCCAGGGGAGCCCTGGGAGAGAAGTGAGGAGTGGCCCCAGGGAGGCTGGATGGAAGGCTCCTCAAGCTGCCCCTGGGAGCGGGTGTGGCCAAGCACTACCTGGCCCAGCCAACCAGTCAATAGCTCTGCTTATATTAACCTGTTCTCCACAGGAGGAGCCTTTTAACCCTGTTAGTCGGGTATGGGTAGAGAGGGGCAGTGGGAAAGGACACATTCACTGCTTTGTTTCCTCTACCAGGATTAACTCTGGACCAAACTCTTCTGTTCTCTAACCTTCCCTTTCTCTGCCCTGCCCTGCCCTGGACTCCTCCCCAGAGAGAAAAAGTCTCAGAGAGGACTCCCTCCTCCTTCTGGCACCCCTTATAGAAGTCACCAGGCCTCTTTTCCTATATTGTTCTGGTTTCAAACCTTGCCCTTGTGAGGTAAAATAACAGTGATTATTGTTGGGGTGTGTTTATTGCATGCTGGGCCCCCCAGGGTTGACACTTATGTATATATTATTTCACTTAATATGCAAACCACTCTATGAGGTACTACTATTAACATTCCCATTATTCAGATCAGAAAACTGAGGCAGAGGGGGAAAAGTTACTTGCCTCCTGTAAGTTAGAAGAGACAAAGTTAGGAACCTGGTCAGAGTCCTCTGACTATGGACCCGGACCCTGAACTACTCTTTCTCCAGTGCCTGTGGCTCCTCAGACTCTGAGTGCCCAGGCATTGCCCCTCCCTACTCGGGTCCCCACCCAGGTTATCACCTTCTCTCTGCAGCAGGAATCTCAACCTGGCCTGAACTAGGAGGTGGACTGTAGAGAGATCCCCACCAGGACTGGTGGTTGAAGAGGGAGAAACCTCCCCCTTCCTCCTGGGGACGATGGGCTCAGCTCCCGATCATCCCTCTGTGTTGCTCAGATGTTGAAATCCCCCCTAAATTTGGAAATTGACCAAGAAAGAAAGCACATGCATCCATTTCATCTGACTCAGATGCTCTTAAGAAAGGGCCATGTTGATGACCCACAGTGGCAGTTGGGTTTTACAGGGCTCTGCAGCAAGAACTCTTGTTTACAAAGATGGATTCTGAGAAGTCCTGGTGCACGTGGGCTTAGGGCAGAGCTACTTTTATAAGGACCTTGGGTCTTCAGTTGTCACTCCCCAGAGCCTAGGTCCATTGCCATCCCTCAGATATCTTTACCGTCATATACATTGGTCCAGGGGAGCAGATACACCCTGAAGTGGCCCAGATTCCTGTTGCCTAGGAAGCCACCAGGGTTCTGGTTCCTGGGGTGACAGAATCCCCACCTGGTTCCAGGCTTGTCCTGTAGCGCCCCCTCCCGGAGGAAGGCAGCATCACTTCCCAGACTTGTTTGCCAAATCTCAGGATCTTCCTTGGGTCAAAGTTTGTCCAAGCCAGTGAAAATGCAGTTAGCTTTTCCTCCCTGTTACAGCAACCAGAGAACTTCCAAAATACCTGTTGTTTTCCAATCCCCAACCAAAACTAGGACTCATACTAACTCAGACAATGGCAGAGTCTCCTCACCTCCCTGTCTCCAGTCTTGCTGTTCCTTGCTCCGCTTGTCATACTGCTGCCTAAGCAACCTCTCCAAAATGTCAGACCAAGATCTCTCCCTGCCTGCACGCCTCCTCATCACTCCCAGACTTAACCTAACCTTGTCTTCTGATGGGCATGTCTCTGTTTCAGCCATGCCAAGTGGTGCTTCTGCATAGGGCTAACATCTTTCCCACTAGTGAGGATTTATCCCTGGCATATCCTCTGCCTAGAAGGCCACCCAACTCTCTCCTTCAGGAGTCAGCTGGAGGGATGCCTCTTCACTACTCCTCTAGTAAAGTGGCAGTCACCCCCACCACCTGTGGTCCCACAGCCTTAGTCCTCAGCTCTCCCATGGCATGTGTCTTCTTATGTCATGCTGCCTCAGCATTTCCCCCTTAGAGTGAGCTTCTGGGAGTGGTAGTGGTGTCTTGTTCCTTTCTGTGGCTGCTATCACCCACCCTGCTTGGATAAGTCAAGTAATAGGCCCTGGGAAATGTAGACAGGTTCTTTCTTCTATGGTTATTCAGTATCTCCTACATTACCTGTGAGAAGATAAGAACAGATCTTCCTTATCTGTGCTGGCCTGGCCCACACCTCCAGCCCTGGAGGCCACACAGAGAAAGCAGATGCTTGGTATTCTTGGGTCAGGCCTTAGCCAGAGAGCCTCCAAGTCCAGAGATATATAGGGCTCAGGAGAGGGCAGGGCTTCCCTGGGGCCCAGGATGTGGTCTCATGCACCCTAGCCTCTGCTTCCTGAGCCATAAAGTGAGGAGGTCAAGTTCAGTTATCTTGAAAAGACCTCTATGTCTGAAAAATCCAAAAGAATCTGTGCCCATCCCTACGGACAACATTCAGTCTTCGGTCCCTGTGGACGTTATCTCCTAGGGCAGTCAAGTCACTATCCAGGGAAAAGTGAGGGCAAAAAGAATAAATGTCCTGACCCCATGGCTTACCCTGTAGCATCCAAGTGACCCCTAATGGAGGGAGTAGCTTAGGTTGATGTCCATTTTCTTCTTGCTTCTTCCATCTGGGCCTGCCCAACCCATCCCTCCCTGGATGTCCAGGCTGTCATTCCAGGGGCTCCACATGTAGTTCTGGACTGAGGGCTGCATCCTTGCAGATCCTAACCATCTGTCCCTCTCTGTAGCTTCCTCAGCTCCCCACCTTGGTCTCCGTATCTTGGTGCCTTTTATGGGGGCCCTTTGCTAAGTGGATGCAGTGCAATGATCCATACCTTTGGGGAATTCACAGTCTAGTCCTAAAGACAAGTTATATAACCCACAACGACAGTAGCATGTAGATGCTACAATGCAGGGCAACACTGAGTGCTGCCTGGTTTAGCAGGATGCAAGGAGCCATGAGTCTTCAAGGGTACATGTATACTAGCCAGCTGGAGAGTGAGGAATAAAGTCATTTTAAGCATGGGAAGCCCCATGTGCAGAGAGATCAGGGACTTACAGGAAGCCACTAAAAAGTTTTAAGGCAGCTGGGACAAGAGGAGCAGGGTGTTAGAGGGGGAGCAACAACATCAGGGCTTCAGGTATGTGTGTAGCAGTCTCACTGAGTGGATCAGTGGGGCAAGGGACCACCAGCAGGGAGACTAGTGAGTGCTCACCTGGAGATAAAAGTGTCCTAGGCGAGGGTGCTGATTGTGGTGTCAGAGATTCTTGGTCTGAAATAGTAGATTCACCTGCCTTGATACCTGATTAGCTGGTAGGAGTCAATGAGCAAAGAACAGGATGGGGTTTGGTAAAGGGTTGGGGTGATACCCAGGATTTTGGCTTGGAACAACTGTTTAGGTGAGATATAGGAGGAAAAGCAGGTTTAATCTGGGATTCCCTGTGTTTAAAGTATCTGAGGGACCTGCAGGAGAACCAAGAGGCTGCAGGATAGGGGGTTTTTCCAAAATGGCCAGCACTGGCCCTCTCTTCCCAGAGATCCCTGAGGGTGAGATGCAGCAGTTATCCAGTGATTCAGCTGCAAGGCTCCAGAGAGACCATTTACCCCCCATCACCACCCCTTGCCTACCAGAAAAACGCACCAATACCTCTGTCACTGGGGGTATGGTCTGGTCCAGCTGTGGTCTGGTGATATTTGGAGAGCATTCCAAAGCTGCCACTTTTGGGGGAGGGGGCAAATGAACTCTGCCATCTCGAAGTATCCCAACTGTTGGTCCCTTCAAGGTCAGGCCAATGCAGACCCCTTCCCTGGGAGACAGGGAGCAAGGACAAGCACCTGCTTCCCATGACCTGACAGTCCCTTTCCTTTCTCTGCCCCATGTTCCTCCTTACCACCTCCCTCTCCATCCCCACTGTTACCTTGTCTGACTTTCAGATTCATCTGAGGAGGCTTTAGGTGCACAGAACCAAGCCCCACCTCTGCAGATTCTGATTCAGTTAGGTCTGGGGTAGTGCTAAGGAATCTCTATTTTTGTCGAGGTCCTGGGCTATCCACTTGACTGCAGTGGGGAATCCTCCTCCCTCTTCCCAGCCTCTCTCTCTTCAGGCATCTTTTATTAGGGGAATCACAGTCTGAGCAAAGGAAGAACATTTATTTTCCCAAGTCGGGTAGGGGCCAGATCCCCCCCTCCCCTTGAGGGCCTAGGCCCACAGGCTGTTTCGCTGGTTCAGGAGGGGAGCTACTAGTGGGGCAGAACAGTCACTTGTACTGAGGAGAGAGTGGGGGTACTAGTGGGGCAGTGCAGACACTTAGCATCTTGTTGATGTCCACCTGAGTTGACTTATCCTCCTCAGCCTTGAGGGGACCGCTGACCCCCAAGCTGGGCAAACCCCCAGGCTCCTCTCCAGTGTCCTCTCCCAGGGAAACCAGAGCATGGGTGTGGGGCACAAACATGTTGGGGCAGGGCAAAGTGAGTCCTGAGCCCAGCTCACCTGCCATGGGCAGCAAGGGCTGCAGCTGCTCCACACCTGCCTCTTCGGGGACCAGGGTCAGCTCCGACTCAGGCTCCACCTCAGCCTCAGCCTCCCTGTCCCCCTCCCCTGCCTGGCTCAGCTCAGGGTTGCAATAGTTGATGTACCGGTACAGAGGCCGCAGGCGCTGGGCCTTTCCTGCAAGGACCCAGGGCAGGGCAGGGGCTAGAGCGCCAAGCTGTGTCATGTCAGGGGTCCAGCGGGCAAGGGAAAAAGGGAAGGTGCAGGGACTGCCACTCACGCTCCAGCCCCAAGATCTCTGAAGGTGCAGGTACCATGCTGGCCACCACTGGGAGCACTGGGGTGCCCAGACTCTTGCGCTTCTTGGCTTTTTTGTGCTGTTTGGCAGATGGTGAGGGCTTGCTCTGGCTACTCTCTAGCTCCTCCCTCTGCAGTGGCAGCTCAGCTTCAGCCCTAGGATGGGCTTGGTGAGTAGGCCCTGGGAGACTGGGGAACAGGAGGCCTGAGGAGCCAGCCTCTGGCCTTGACTCCTGTGTCCTAAGCCTGTGGAATAGCCCTACCTACCTACCACCCCAGGCCCAGATTCTTGTCCCTTTTCCTGGTCAGGGAGGCCCCAGGCTGGACAGGGGCCAAGAGCTCATGTGAGCTTAGTCCCCTACAAGGGCTTGAGACTCCCTCTCTGTATGCTCCCTACATCAGGGCTCTTGTGTAACAGAAGAGGTCAGGAGTAATGATGGTGAGAGGGAATAAGGATGCACACTGCAAGAATGCAGGATTTAGGACTCCTAATAAGGTGTGAGCCACCCCTACTCCAACCCCAAGCCCTGCAGCTCTTTCCCTCTGAAAGCCCCCTCACTTGACTGGCTTCCTCTTTGGACCATGACTGGGCCTCAAAATGGAGGCCATAGGCCTGAGGCCTCTCTCCTCTAGTGCCTCCACCTCTGGCTTGAGCCTCTCTTCCTCCAGTTTGTGTTTTTCCTCCTGAAGCTTTGGCTCTGAGACTTGGCCTGATGGACACTTGTCTTCACCCTGGGTTTGGCAGGCCTCATGGGCTGGCACCAGGCACTGGTCTCCCATCACTGAACACTAGAAGTGACACATAGGTAACTGGTCACCATGGCCAGGCAAAGGAAACAGGAATCAGTCATTAGACACTGGATATTAGACACCAAATGTGGATGAAGGGCAACAGCCCATGCCCTTCCCAGCCTGTGAAGCCTGTCCTGGCAGTTAGGGGGTCTTTGCACAGAATTTGGCCTTCTAAAGCTCTGTGGCCAAGTGTTTGAAGGCTAGATAGTCTCATGGTCACCTTGGAGATCTGAGCATGGCCACCAGGCAGCTCTGTGAGCTGTGCAGGCCAGACAGCCATCCTCTCTTGGGCCCCTAGCCGCCTCTCAGCCCCTGCTGAGGCTATGGCAGCGGGCTGTCAGTTCGTCCTCGACGGTTGCTTGGGAGAAGTGGGGTTGGGATAGAGAGCGGGCCCTGAGGGGTCAAACTGGTGGACCCCGAGCTGACCGCAGCGACAGGCCAGGGTGGGAAGGGAAACTGGCAGCCGCTCTGTCCCCACCCTCAGCTGAAACTACAAGCCCCAGAAGGCTTTGCGCCGGGGGCTTTGGCCCCTTACCTCAGGGACGGAAACCGTTGTTGCCTGGCAACAGCAAACCAGTCGAGTGGCAGCAGCGGGAGGTAAAACTGCTCAAAACTGCTCGGGTGAGCCCCCTGCCCGGGTGTTGCGGGGGAGGGGCTACGAACAGGACAGGGAAGTGGGCTGTGAGCGGAGGAGACGAGCTCAGGCCAGGATCGGGAGGCGGGGTGGGGGCCAGGATTGGAAGACAAGGCTGGGATCAGGGCCCGGGTCCAGGGAGGAGGCATGGGGTTGAGGAAGCCGGTTCGGGGCCGGAGGTGCGTAGCCCGGCAGGCCTTGGTGCACCGTTGCAGGGCGACAACGAAGGCATGTGCGAGGGTCCGTCCCGTATCTCGGGGCCCATCCCCCCAGACCCTACGCTCTGTCCTGACTACTACCGGCGGCCCGCCTCGGGTAAGTTGGTGGGTACCGCCACTGGGCGAGACCCGAGCGAGCGTCGGACCCACTCCACCACTGAGCCCAACACTCCGCCCTGTCTGGCCCCTCAGCCCAAGGGCGCCTTGAGGGAAACGCGCTGAAGTTGGACCTGCTGACCTCGGAACAGGACCTAGACTCCACACCTCCCCTCGGCCCCCGCATCGGTCCGGGAGCCCGAGAAATCCTGGAGCGTGGCCGGCATGGCGTAGTGGGTGTGCTGCTGCAGCTCGAGGGTATCTCCCTAGGCTCAGGGGCCTCTCCCAAGAGTAAGTTCTGGGCAGAAGGGGCAGCGGGGCTTTGGTCAAAGCTGAGATCAAAAGCAGCTGCTCCGCCTTCCCCGACGAGGGCTCGGGCTTTGCTTCTCTGAGTGTCAGTTTTCCCAACTATAGAAGGAGGAGGAGATGCACTACCTCCTTGAAGGAGAGGACTGAATGAGGTCTTCCCTGGAAACGGTAGTTCGGCTTCATGAATTCATGCACCAGTGAAACGTTGTTTATTGAGTGTCTACTGTGTTAGGCCCTATAGGTGCTAGGAAAACGAAGTTGAAAAAGAGCATCATGGAATCAAGGTGGGAGACAATAAACAAGTAAAGCGATGAATCCGACATGCAAGATGATTAATGGCATATTTATTGAAATTAAAAATGTAGAAAACCATCAGGGATAGAAGAAGATAATTACCGTGTCAGGAAGTGAACAAAGCAATGAAGTAGAGTATATGTAGAGAGTCTAACTTAGAATGGAGATGTCACAGAGATCTTTCTATAGGAGGAGAGTGTGGGGCTGGTGTGAGTGGGATTGCATTAGGCTGTATGTAGGGCAGAGCCTGGCAACATGTTTTTTGTTTTGTTTCATTTTTTTTAATGGAGGTACTGGGGATTGAATCCAGGACCTCCTGCATGCTAACCATGCACTCTAACACTGAGCTATACCCTGCCCCCACCACTGAGCCTGGCAACATCTTTTCCCCAGGGAAGGACCCTAAAGACCATGAGAAGGACAACCTGAGGCGGATCAGGGAGATCCAGAGGCGCTTCCATGAGCAGGAGCGTGGCCAGGGTCAGGGCCAGACCAGGCCTCTGAAGGCTCTGTGGCACTCCCCCAAGTACGACAAAGTGGAGTCCCGTGTCAAGGCCCAACTGCAGGTACCTGCTTCAGGGAGCCAGAAGTATTGTCCATCTTGTTGGCCAGGAGACAATTATACTCCAATCTATGTTATAAGGAGGGAGGAAAATCACAGGGGACTAAGGTAACAGGGGTCTGAGACATAGGTGGTTCTGCTGCAGGGTGGGGGTGGGGAGCTTTCTCAGAAGTGATGATGGCTGGATGATCCTGAGGGGCAAGTAGGAATTAGGCAAGGGGAGAATGGAAGAGAACATTCTATAGAGATGGAACCTCGTAGATAGAAGTCCTAAAACCAGAGGGAGTATGGACACTGGGGATGCTGTGTTTAATTAACTGTGAGGAAAGAAGAGCACAAGGTTAGGCTAAGAATCAGCTGGACCCACATCATAAAATGTCACATGATCCACTTTTAACATTTATTACTAAGGACGGTGGGAAGGGCAGGGGCAGGGGGGTAGAGTTCTGTCTTGGGTAGATAGTGGCACCACTTCTCTATCCAGGGGTCTGCGAAGGAAAAGCAGGACTGAGAGGAAAGACAGTAAGGTCATATGTGGCTGTATGGAAGCTAAAGCCTGTGGGACTCCCGGGGAGTGGGACTGTGTCCAGGAAACAGATGGAGAATCAGGTCAGGATCGCAGAAGTGAGACCTAGGAGTTACTGTGGTTCAGGCTGAGGATGATGAGAGCAAGGCAATGACCCTGGATTTGAGGGCTTGGAGGCCAGCCATCAGTGACCTTGGTGGGGAAAGAGCTAGGAAGCTTGACTAGGAAGGAAACAAAAAGAGAATGGTAGCTGAAGCCAAGACTGAGGTAGAAGTAGGGATATTTGTTTTCTTAAAGATGTGAGAAACACACATGTTTAAATGCTGATGAGAAGTATTTCAAGTGGAAGGAGCCCAGGCCAGCCCATAGGGCTGGTGATAAAGATTCTGAGAGGCAGGAGGGGCAGAGGCTGGGTCTTATGGCTTGAGACCCTGACCTCAGCTTGATCCCTCTGCAATGCCTTGGCCTCCAGGAGCCCAGCCCTACTTCTGGAACAGAGCCTGCTCACTTCCTACGGGCACATTCCCGCTGCGGCCCTGGGCTCCCACCACCTCGTGTCCCCAGTCCTCAGCTAACCCCACCAGGTCCCAGTGCTAAGGTGAGAGGATGTTTGGGGGCTGGGAGGTTGGGCAAGGATCCTGAGCAGATTCAGGGGCACAACACAGTGCTGTCTGCCTCATCCTGTTTGCCATGTTCTGCAGGGGCCAGGCTCGGGTGTGGATTTCATTACCCACAATGCCCGCACTGCCAAGAGTGCCCCCCGGCGGCATTCTCGCTCGCTGCAAGTCCTGGCACAGGTGCTGGAGCAGCAACGACAAGCCCAGGAGCACTACAATGCCACACAGAAGGGTCATGTGCCCCATTAGTAGGTCCTACTACCTAATGCCCAGGGTAAGGGGCACTTATGGAGTGTGGGAGCCAACATCTGTCCTGAGATCATCCACCCTGAGTCTGTGCATTACAGCTTGTTGGAGCGCAGGGATGTGTGGCGGCGGGAGGCTGAGGCTCGTCAGAGTAGTCAGCCAGACCCGGCCATGCCCCCTGGCCACACTCGCATGCCTGAGAACCAGCGGTTGGAGACACTGAGCAATCTGCTCCAGAGTGAGTATGTGGGCATGGGGAGCTGGATGGGGAACCCACTGGGGACCATGAACCCTTGCCCAGCAGTTACTGTTCCTGGGGCCTCTGTAGGCCAGAGCCAACTGCTTCGAGAGCTGGTGCTGCTGCCTGCTGGGGCAGATTCACTGAGTGCCCAGAGCCACCGTGCTGAGCTGGACCAGAAGCTGGTACAGGTAGAGGAGGCCATCAAGATCTTTTCCCGCCCCAAGGTCTTTGTGAAGATGGATGCCTGAGCCCTTTTATAGGGGTAGTGATGGGGTCTCCCTGAGGATCGCCACATGGTTGCAAAGGGCAGGATTGGGCCCCATTGTAGAGTGGAGCTCGAAGACGGGAGCAGTGGGGTGGGTAGTATTCCCAGAGCACTCTTCCCAGCCACTGGTGGCTGTGGAAGGGTCATCCCAGCCTCTTAAACCCTTTGTCAAAATTAAACCTTTTGTACACAGGGGGTTTGTTTCCATAAGAGCTTTTCTTACCCTAGAAATGCCAAGCCTGGTAGCCCTCCTGCTGCTTGACTACAGGAAGGTCTCTCTGCCACCCTTATCACTTCTTCCTCATGTCCAGGGAAGAAGGCAAGATTGTGGGATCAGGGAGGAGGCTAGGACTGGGATACAGAAGGACCACAACTGTATTTAGAAAACCTTTAATCTTCCCCAGACTGAGAAGGCCCTGTGAGAAGCTAAAAACCCCCACTGGGGAAGTCCCTGCCATGTCCCAGCAGCCTGGAGGGGCAAGGGGTAGCATCCTTGCCTGTCAGAGGCTGAAGCCACTACCATCTCCTCGCATGCTATTCCCCCAGCTAGAGCTGGCCTGCTCTTGATCATCCAGGGAGGGCAGAGAGCTGCGGGTACCAGGAAGTAGGCGGCTTGGACGCAGGTCCCAGCATGGAGACCCCTGAGACAGCCCATTAGAACAGGGAGGCTTGCGGTTCTCAATGACCAGATCACTGCTGTCATCGTCACTATCGGGCTCAGCAGACCCAGGCCCAGCAGAAAGAGGCCCTGTCAGATTCCCAGATACCCCACGCACCACATTATTGCGCTGATTGGCTGGCTTGACAGTGACAATGAGGTTATGGCTGTTGGCGACCATCATGTCCGTCACTTGGTCCAAGGTCTTGCCAGCTACCTCAATGCCATTGACCTCAAGGATCTCATCACTTACTGCCAGCAGCCCTGTACTCTCAGCCAGGCCCCCTCGTACCAGGCGGGAGATGAAGATGCCTGGAACCCGTTCCAGGCCCTGGGGAGCTACACGAACGCTCATGCCATCTCGGATGTAGAAACCCAGGGGGCGATCAGAACCATGCTTATGTAGCCGCACCCGTCGGTGGGTCTCAGGCAGTAGGTCCACATCTATGACTGAAGAAACCTGGCGGAAATCTTGGGGCAGGCTGATTAGCAAGGGTGGCCGGGTGCGCAGGGGTGCCACAGGCCGAAGGAGGAGCCCTTTCTTACGCCGCTGCAGAGAGTTGGAGGCAAAGACCAGGCCACTGGAGTCACCTTCTGCTGCAGGAGAGGGAGGCGCTGAGATCAGAGACCCTACTCTCCCACTTGGGAACCTTTTCTTTCAGGCCCAGGCCTGAGGAAGGGGGTACTGTAGCTATTCCCTGCTACTTGGAGGTCAGGCCAAGGGCAGGGACTGCAGAGGGTGAAGCCTGGGCACCCTGGATGTGGACTAACCCTTGTAGACCTGCCCTGTCACCCTACCCCACAGAGGCTTCCCACTATACCCCATTCTTCTCACCCCGCTTCTGCACTAGCAGGCGCAGCGGCGGGGGCCCACTGGCCAGGGCCCGGTGCAGGCTGTCGTCATTGGTGAGGGGCAGTAGGTCGCCGTGAGCATCTGTGTAGCCAAGCAGCACGTCCAGGCCCGGAATCTGGTGTACTGCACGCAGCAACCGAGAGAACTCTTGGAAGCCGCTCACCGAAGCGCGGGGCAGCGCGAAGCGTCGGAACTCGGCATCAAACTGGAGGGGATGGGGGAGAGGAGGGGTCAGAACGGAGTTGCTGCCCCCTTTCACCGCAGGTCTGAGGCTGGCAGGGGTGGGAAAGACAGGGCTTTACAATGGCTGCATCCGTTCACACAGACCTCAGCTCCAGTACAAGAGACGCTGTCCAAGGTCTTTTCCCCACCCTCTAGGTACCCAAGCCATAGAGGTACTCTAGAGGCCGGTAGTGGGAGGAAGGAGGATGAGTGTGGGAAAGCGAGAAGAAAAGCCGGAGAACAGGATGTGGAGGATGGAGGAGAGAAAAAGGTGGTAGGAACCAAGGAGCTAGGAAGGGGAGAAAGGGAATTGGAGGCGCCTAGGGCCGAGGCCGGAGCCGGTGCCGGAGGGGCCCTTACTTTGCTCTTCACCTCGACGATGCTGTCAGGACTGCGCGCCGGAGTCCTCTGCGGCCTGGCCATGGTGGGGCCAGGCGGGCAGAGTACGGTGCCCCAGGCGGCCAGCCGAGGCGCAGGTGCACAGCCAGGCCGGCGGGCCCGCGCTGCCCCGCCCCTGGCGGTAGCATTCGCCCCGCCCTCCTATCCGGACCGTGACGTCAAGGGGGCAGCGACGGCGAGTGGAACGCGGAGTCCACGTTCCCTAGGAAACGGAGATGGCGGGGTGGAGGAGTCTTCCTGTCAACTTACGTCTGTACGCTACGGTCTGGGGGAGGGGCTTGCCAATTAGAGGGGAGAGTGAGGGAAAGGGTATTTATTGTTGCGTACTGTTATTTCCACAGGGCAAGACTGCGTATTTTGTAGATGAGGAAATTGAGTCATAAATATTTGCTGAACTCCTCGGGGTCACTGGCGTTGAAGTGGCTTTGAGCCAACTCGCTCTGACCACTCTTGGCTGCAGTCTCAGGCCTCAGATCCCTCACTTTCCATCCGAGCCAGCCCTTGGCCCCTTCCTGCCCACTGCTACGGAAGATTTGACGAACAGCCCAAACTCCAGGCCACTGCTTGGAGAGATGCTAAGCAGGACAGCATCCAATTGATTCAACGGGAATCTTCACACAAGTTTCAGAATAGGACACGCTTGTGCGCACGCGCATGCACGCTCGTGGGCGGGGCCTCGACCTTGGGTCCCACCCAGCCATCTTGCGCTTCCTCTTCCGACGAGAGGCGGGGCCGCGGCGCCAGCGGGAAACCAGTGCTAGTGGTCCTCTGCTGTGTACGGCGTTGGGAATGGCAGGCGTGGGAAGCCTGGTCCTGCGACCCTGGATTCGAGAGCTGGTCTTAGGATCAGAGGCACTGTCAAGCCCGCGAGCGGGGCAGCTGCTCAAGGTGAGCCCCCCGCTACTTTCGGGGCCTGAGACCAGGGCGGGGCCCCAGGGCAGTGGGTTTGATGCTGGTCCCCCTGTCAGGTACTGCAGGAAGCCGAGGCCCCCGGTCCATCCAGCGCCGCTGGCACGTCTGACGTCGGGGCCTCGCTGCTTGTGTCCGACGGGACCCACAGTATCCGATGCTTGGTGACGCGGGAGGCCCTCAACGCCTCGGACTGGTGAGAGAGGCTCCGCGGGGCCTGGGGAGATCGGAGTCCAGTAGGAGAG